ATGACCATGAAAATATATTAATAGGAACTCTATTCACATTTTTATCTATAAATTTTATCTCGTAATATTTTTAAGAAACCTATATTATTTATTTATATGCATCTTAAATAAAATATTAAGATAATTATCTTCTTTGGATTTGAATCGTTGGTGATTTTGAAGAGTAATATTTGTGTTATTATTTGCGGTTTGTATTTTTCATTAATTTTATGTGAAAATAGGTGTTAAATATAAAAGAACAATGAAATAGTTCACGTTCGGGCTTTAACTAGCCCAACCCGAACCCAGACCGAACCCGGGCTACCAAAAACCCGACTCGGACCGAATATGATGGTCTTTATTCCGGTCCCTAATTTTCATAACGTGAGACCTTCCGGTTAATTTCCGGGTTTAGCAAAAACCCGACCCAGACCGGACCGATCCCACCACTACTTTAATAGATGGGAGTATAGCCTTTGACACAAGTTTTAAGAAGGAATTAATAGGGGTAAGATAAAAGGTGTAGTGGGTTGTGTGTAAAGGAAAAAGTAGGAAAGAGAATGAAGATATATAGGTATATTTATTAAAAAAACTTTCTAAAAAGGGAAAGAGAGACCTGTATTGGAGAACATCCCAAAATGGAAAGAGGAACATGTATTAGAGAACGGAGGAAGTATATTTTTTTTATAAAAAATGAAGTACAAATAGAAAAATTAAAACACAATAAACAAATTTGGGATTTTAATTATTGTAAGCCCACGTCTCTAAATTCTCACAAGAGCATCACGTTATTGGTGCAACTCAACTCTCTCCAGGTGAAAAAGCCTGCAAATTCCCACTTCACAGGTTCCATCTATCCAGTTTCTCACCCATAAAATACATGGGTTGGAGCATTTTTTACCGTGAAAAGCTTAAGGGGGTGTTTGGTAACACCCGTAACAGCTAATTTTTAGGTTCCCTTGGCTGTTGATTGTGAACGGCCAAAATAAGAAACGCTGAAAAACCTAGCGTTTTGGCTTTAGCCGTTCAAAAATTTATCGGATATTCCTAGAATAGGTCTTACGGTATTACCCGTACTGTCTCCTTCCGTATTCTTTTCGTCTTCCACAACCCAAGCCTAAAAGAAAACGCTGAGGTGAAGCTTTGCCAACCTCTTCCACATCGTCTCTTATCCTAGTATCCTAAAACAAACTATCTCGGTTTGTCCACCAATGTATTCTTCTTTTATCAAATTATTTTTCGTTTGGATTTTCTGTTTATACATGAGAAATAAGTAACTTTGAGACAAAAAAAAATAAAACCGTTGTTTTGATGTTTAAGACGGGAGATTCCATAGGTCTTTAACTCCACTATGCCTCATATGCTCTGTATCTCTCTCCCTGAAAGAGACCCAGTAGCTTGGAGAGCCATTATAAATTTATAACTTATAAGCACATGATTCTCCCTGCCTCATACGCAATGGGGTGTTAAAACTCAATGTTTAACTATTTTCCAAACAATATCCAATAACTTTCAAGCAACAATCATCTTTTCTCTCACACATAATGGGTAAACGGTCATCAAACTTAAGGGATACACACACATGTATATATATGCATCAAAATAACAGGAACATCAACATGGAAAGTTCAAGATGTGATGATTGATTGTTAACTTCTAACTGCTTTGGATTCTTTGCTCTGACTGATTATTGGAACATAATATTTTTTTCTCATCTTTTGTTTAATTGCATCTTAAGTTTTGGTGTGAGAATTGTTGCACCTTGCTGTAAAACATTTCCCACCTTGTCATCTTTTGAACATATTTGATAAAATCATGCACCTTATGTTTCTGTTCAATCAAGTAAGTTAAATGTAATATTCTTTTTTATGCGCCTCTATGAGTCTGTAAAGTTTCTTTAAATTTCTGCCGCTTGAGCATAAGTTGAATGACAATTTTGTTAGCAAAATGTTTAATACGTATATAAAAGTGGTTAGTAGATAAAATAAGTTAATTCAAATGTCCTTAAAAGTCATTTAACAAATTATCTGCCGATTTCAAACAGCCATTTAACCAAACATTGTTCTATAAATAACTAATACAATCAGCTAATCAAAACAGCTAACAGAATCCGCTGTCACAAATCAGCCAACAGAATCGGCCAACAGCCAACAGCCAATAGCTGATTGCCAAACACCCCCTAAATTTAGCTATTCAAGCTTCCGGTTGCGGGCAGTCTAATGGTAGTCATACAACTATACAAGTGATACAAACTGCGAACTGGGGAGTGGGGACACTCCACATATAAATATAAAACTAGGAGTCCAGGACTTAAAGAAATTTATAATCGGGAGTAAAAACTTAAAATTTTACTATATTTTTACTGCACAAATAATTTATGAGTGAATTGTCTAAATAGGACTAAAAGAAGGTAGAATTGCAAAAATAGGACATAATGTTTTAAGTTTCCTTAATAGGACTAATTATTTGAATTTGGACAAAAATAGCCTTCTTGATTCTCGCTGCATCGATTCGCTGGGTGCGATCAATGTCGATCGGCAGCGATGGATGTACGCCTCTGCTACATACATGCCCAGGTAAGTTTGTTCTCCATCTTTTAATCTTCTTCTGCTCATCGTTAACTTCTTCTCAAAGCTCCCTTGTTTTCCTCTTCTACAACTCTTCTATTTTCTTCTTCTTTTAGATTTCCAAATTTTTATTAATCTTGAGTAATTTATTTTAAAAGATTCATATTATTGTTCTCATCACTTGAATATGAAAAATATCACAAATGATGTTTAATTGAACACTAATTTGTAATCATGTCACTTTTATGACATTACATTTGCTAAGGTGACAATTTCAAAGAAGAAAATGACATTTCCAAAAAGAAAAAATATCATTTTCATGACATTTTCAAAACAAAAATGACATTTTCATATTGTCATCCTAGTAAATGTACTGCCACAAACATGACATTTTTTTCAAAGAAGAAAATGACATTTCCAAAAATGAAAAATGTCATTGTCATGACATTTTCGAAACAAAAATGACATTTTCAGATTGTCATTCTGGTAAATGTACTGCCACAAAATATGACATTTTCTTCAAATAACCAATAATTTTGACATTCTCAGATTATAAAAGTGTCATTTTCCTGAATAAATAAAATTCAAACCCAAAAAATCTAAATTAATAAATAAAATTCAAATCCAAAAAAATCGAAGAAGAAGAGAACAGAGGACCAGAAATTTGAAGAGGATTAGAAGAAGAAAAGAAGAAGAAGAAGAACAAGAAGAAGAAGAAGAGGAGGAGGAGGAGGAGGAGGAGGAGGAAGAAGATAATGAAGATGAAGAAAGGAGGAGGAGATTACCTACGATCGACGGCGGCTATGGTGCGAAGCCATAGCCGATGGCGGAGCTGCAGTCTATGGGATGAATTGAAAGCATGTGCGGAGCTGCTGCGATTTGTTGTAGTTGATCGGAGAAAGCAGCGATGAAGGGGGCAGAGCATCGATGAAGCGGATTGGACGATGAAGCGAGAATACCAGAAGGGGGCGAGAGATTGGGGTTTTAATTGCAGAAGGGCAAAAGAGTAATCTGGAGTCCCATTTATGCAATTTAAAACTTGAAGTCCTATTTTGGAGTTTTAACCATGTTTTAGTCCCATTTAGTATAATTTTACATAATTTATACATATGCATATAAATCACAATTTTTTTTTCTTTCCGTCTTCTCTATCTCCACCCCTGCCTCAGCGGCAGGCAATCCAAGAAAGACTTTCCTGGCGGGAATATTTGAGTCATTTGACCGATTATTGTTCCAAGAGTTGAGGAGATTGGAGGCATCTCCTGAAGAATACTCACAGGGAGGGTTGTTGTAGAACTGAACCCAAACATAGTCGAAAACACCGGTGTTTATTGTAAGGACTAGTTTAGCAACGCGCGATGCGCGTTCTTGTAAATGCCCAAGACCATTTATGTTGAGTGAATATGTGGGTATTATGAGTAAACTATTTGTATACATAGTTTGTTAGAAATTAATAAAGAAACTTCACGAATAAAATATTTGTAGCATAGATTGTATGTGGGGAAATAAAGCAACCAAGATCATTATAATAACCATAATAATAATAGAATAAGATTCATTGAAGTTCATTTATTATTGAACAAAAAGAAGACAAATATCAAAAGTATTTGAGACCACATTTCATAATTTTTATTCTTTGAAGTTCATTTTCATCTTAATTGGGGTAATGCCAATTTTTTAAAACTTGTAGGTTATTATATCTTGTTTAAAAACAAGAATGCTTACAACAACATTTAAGTCTTAGTTCCAAAAGAGCAGAGTTTGAAGTCTACCTAACATGAACATATGAAATCAGTGTTAAAAAGAATAAATAGAGATCAACCCTTCATATAGTTTAAAAAAATGCTTAATAGATCAAGAATTTTAACAAAGTTTAAGTAGTTATTATATACAAAGGCAATGTCATCAGTTTAAAAATGAAATATGCTGCACGAATATCTTGTGTGAATCTTTTTGGAAGAACCGTCATGGGATTTTGTGTATAGATTACATAAAGTATCATAACTTTATCTGTTGCAAAAAGGAGTGAGGTGCTTAAATAGAGAACTTATATATAACATAGAAATTGAACAATGAAGAAAATGATAGACATTGCAGGTAAATATATGGGCTTAAAAATAAATGGTTTTTTTACCTGTTCATATCAGATATTCATTTCATTCATTCATGTCAATATTCATAGAGATTACGAAACCTAGATACATTTCAAAGAAGTTTGAAAATAGTAATACTCTGTTTTCCTTTGCATATATAAAGTCAAGCAAAGCATAAAGTAAAAAAACTCGTTATACATATGAGGGAAATGGCTTTAAAGAAAAATGCTCTGTCCAATCAAATTCAGTCACAATTCACTGTCCAATCAAACTTTTGAATGAATTTAAAATAACCATGTATGGTATAAGAGGGTTTTGAGGAGGGAACTAAATTGAAAATTTAAATGTATTACTTACCATGTAGCATCCATAAACAGGAACAACTTCTTGCAACTGTCCTCTTTCAAGTTTCAAGAAATGGATAAAATCATAATCGAATAGGCCTCGAATGATGGCAATGACAAAAGAGGTTTTTTGTTCTTATTTTTATTCATCCAACTAAATGTACACATAATTTAGAAACATAAGAAACACCCAATGCACCAGTAAACATCACTAAGGATTAATAAAAACTACTTTATGTACCAATTCCACCAAAGCTAGCTAGGAAGTAAACACTACATGTAACCTCTTCGAAGATTCAGTATCAAGTTCAATTTGAACCTGCAAAAAAAGATTAACCACCAAAGCAAATAAGTTGGTGGAATGAAAATTTGAATCTGAACCTTTGGAAAAAACAGATTTGGGAATAAATTTAAAATGGTTCTATTAAAATAAAATCTGGAGAGGGCTGATCAATTGGGCCATGATAGTATCAGTTCAGAAAAATAAAACACTAATGATATCCAATTGAGGAATACATAAAAAAGGAGTAAAGAGCTTAGGAGCTTCGAATTTCCGAAAGTCAAAATTCAAAAGTTCAAAATACACATACAATTTACAATTGATACAAAAAAAAAACCCAATTGAGAAATACATAAAAAACAACAACCTGGAGGAACACAGAAACGGAGAATCCCAATATTGGGGCATGGAGGTCTAGCCGTCTGAGCAGGAGAAATGGAGCTTGGTTGTGGCCTTTGTGACAATCTGACTAACGGAAGGAAAGACAACCGCTTAGCAGACCAGCAGAGTCGCAGGTCGCGATGTTCTTGAATCTGGCCTCTAGAAGTTGAGAAGGATAATCCACGATTTGAGATTTTAGGAAAATTTTCAGAAAGACCTATCATTTGATGTGGAAACGGAGGTTTGGGCTTATGGAATTTGAACGCACCCTTGAACACTACACGGTCCGCCCCTGCTTCCTAGGATCTAGCTTTTTTGAGTCATTCATTGTACCCTAATAATCTGAAAAAATAAGATCGAAACAATACCTTTTGGAGCATCCGTTTCAAAATACCTATAATTGAAATGCAGAGTTGGAGCAAAAGGGTTCCTTGGATGCAGAACCTGATACATATACTTCAAAGCTCAAAGCTCATCAGTCGGAGAAATGAAATTCAAAGCTCGATTAAGAAATCTCAAAAGCTGGAAATTTTACCGAGCTGATACCAGGAACGAAAAGGGGGGCAGGGCCGAGCTTTACGTCGCCACTGTCGGCGGCAGAGGCGGACGGTTTGGCAGCTCTATAGGCGTCGGGAGGCATGATGCCATTGGCTAGGTGGAAGAGTTTGTGAATGAAAAAAAGAGTAAAAGAAGGTTTATTAATCACGAATGTGAGAAGGCTCCCACATGCTCGAGCTTTACGAAGGAAATGGGTTTAACGGCAAATCTGACCTCCGTCACCTTTTACTCTGCCATCACAGCTACAAGCTTGGAGTAAATATACATAGAGTACATTCGGCCAATGCACAAAGAGACACCAACATTTTTCCTAAGAATATTATGCCCCTAACAATATTCATGCTTATATAATTGTAGAGATATGGACGAACAAAAAAAGAAAAGTTGGATATGCTACCATTAAATCTGCCTATACAATCAAAGAGTACTAGCTAATGGTCACCACGAAAATGTGAAACACTACATCTAACAAATGTTTTAAAAATGTTGCGATCAGCTTGTTTAAATCATTGGAGTCAAGTTGGTATAAATAATGTGAGATAATGGGACACCAATTAACCTATTACAAAAATAGAAATTGACATGTTTCACAAAAAACTCAAATCATTAAAAAATAAAAGTGTGGATGACTTCGAACCATACAATCCTGAAGAGATTATTACCCCTTATATGACTAAAAGATATCATCTTTCTCAATCTATGACTCATATGTTTTTTCCCTAATATGATGTCTTCTTTCATGTATCCATATGATCAGACATATCGTGTCTATTATGCAATTCCAAATTTACCCTTTAATCGAATACCACGTCTGAGAACAAAAAGCTAGTTACATATAAGTAATTATTACGTATTACTCCGTTGAATACGTACTCCACCTGTAGGTATCTTCCACCTTCTTTCTTGGAAGTTGCCAAGAGACACCTTAACATGGAGGCACCTTCTTGGAAAGAGCTCTCCAACAAATAAAGATGGGAGAAGATATGGAGATACCTTGGAAGCTTGGATGCAACTTCCTTTTGTCTCCAAACTAGTCCTATAAATAGAGTGCTCCATTGTTGTTCATAGTATCAGTTTAGAAAGTGAGAAAAGTGTGTGAAGAGTGAAAATACACTTAGAGTAGAAGTGTATTGGTGAGGATTGGTTTTTTGTAATAGTTGAGTGTGAGAGTTTGCTCCTCCTATTGTAATTCTGTTCTTGATATTGAATAGAAGAATTTTCCAATCCCAACAAGTGGTATCAGAGCGAGGTTGAGTTTTCATACACTGTTTTCTCATTTTCAGATAAATTTCTACAGGTTAGAAAATCGTGATTTTTCAAGTTGCTTGGAATCACGATCCGATCGTACCGTTAGATTCGTCTCGTCGAGACGAGAAATCTGGTATTTTTGAGGAATTTTTTGGCCACCGGAAGAGGCCGTACGCGCCGCCCAAACGCGCCGGAGAACTGCCTGCGTCATCATTGCGTCATCACGCAGTCCAGAGGAAGAAGACGAGCCATGTCAGCACCACGTCAGCGCCACGTCAGCCGCCACGTCAGCGCCACGTCAGTCAACGTAAGCGCCACGTCACCCGCCACGCCAGCCGTGCAAGTCATCATCTGGGCGCCACGTCAGCGCCACATCAGTGACATGTGGCGCCACGTCAGCGCCAGCTGTTGCCACGTCATCCGCATGCTGGTCTGCTCACTGGGCTGCTGCCTGAACCGGACCGAACCGGTTCGTACTTGTGGAGGCCGGTTCACCCATTTTCAGACCGGTTTTGGACGAGGTCAGACCGGTTCCTACCATTTTCGGGCATTCCGGATCCAACGGTTAGCTCCGTTTGTCCAAATTCGGCTCCGAAAATAAGGTACGAGATATTTTGAGCGTTTTATTATGGATAAATCATCATCGGACACCATGATTGCGCTCACTTCCACAAATTACAATATGTGGAAGCCTCGGATGGAGGATTTGCTAAATTTGAGGGATTTAGCCGATCCTCTTGATAATAATGGCGTGAAACCGGATAAAAAGACGGATGAAGAATGGACAAAAATGAATAGAAAAACTGTCGCAAAATTCGGCAGTGGATCGATCATAGTGTGTTCCCCCATGTTGCGCAAGAACAAAGTGCTTACACACTATGGGAGAATCTTGGTAGCATGTATCAAGCAAAAACCGCCCGAAATAAGACATTACTAATGAGGAGATTAGTAAACCACAAGTTACGAGGAGGTATTTCGGTGTCAGAACACACCAGTCAATTCCAGGATCTTGTGAATCAGTTGAGCACCACCGGATGGGTTCTCAAAGATGAAGAGCAGGCGATACTACTCTTGAGCTCTCTACCTGACAGCTGGGAGACTCTTGTTGTCACTCTCAGCAATTCTGCTCCCAATGGCAAAGTGACTATGCAGATGGTCACAGATGCCCTTATGAACGAAGAAGCCCGAAGAAAAGAAGCCGGGACTGAACAATCATATGCCTTCGTGTCAGAAACCAACAGACGAGGGGGAGGCAGAAATGGAGGAAGAAGTCGAGGTCGAGGTAGAGGCCAAGGTCAAAACAGAGGAAATTCTCAAGTTCGCGGCCGATCACAAGAACGAGGTATGTCCTGTGAAAACAATACTTGGTTTGAAGGATATTGCAACTATTGTGGTAATTATGGGCATAGAAAAAGAGATTGTAGAAAGTTTCTACAAGAGCAGCCACAGACGAGTCAAAATACTAGCCAAGAAGATGGTGTGACTATGGTTAGTTTGTCATCAGATGCGTGTCTTGTTACACATGGTGAACAAGAATATTTACACGTAGGTACTCATGATGTTGAGTGGGTGATTGATACAGCCGCATCATTTCACGCCACTCCACACCAGCACTTATTCACATCTTATAAGTCAGGAGACTTTGGAGCTGTGAAGATGGGAAACACGAGTTTCTCGAAGATTGTTAGCATTGGTGATGTGCACATAACAACCAATGTCGGATGCGCACTTGTGTTGAAAGATGTTCGACATGTTCCGGATCTTAGATTGAATCTTATCTCCGGTACAGCTCTAGATCAGCAAGGATATCTTAACCGATTCAAAGAAGGTACGTGGAAGTTATCTAAAGGTTCCTTGGTTGTTGCAAGAGGCCATATTTGTGGTACTCTTTATAAAACTCATGCAAAGTTGTGTCATCCAAGTCTTAATGCTGTTGAAGAAGAGATATCACCAAACTTGTGGCACTGGAGGTTAGTCCACTTAAGCGTGAAGGGATTGACAACTCTTGTTAGGAAGGAAAGAATTTCCATGGGCAAAGGTGTTGCCTTAGATCCATGCGAGCATTGTCTATTCGGGAAACAACACAGGGTTTCCTTCAGTTCTACCAGGAGGAACCATTCAGAGTTACTCAGTCTTGTACACTCTGATGTATGTGGACCCATTGAAGAGGAGTCACTTGGAGGAAGCAGATATTTCGTGACATTCATTGATGATGCATCACGAAAGGTATGGGCTTATTGTTTGAAGAGTAAGGATCAAGTGTTTGATCGCTTCAGATTATTTCATGCCATGGTAGAAACAGAAACAGGGAAGAAGCTGAAGTGTCTACGTTCAGACAATGGAGGAGAGTACACTTCCCGAGAGTTCTCAGCATATTGCGCCGCATATGGAATCAGACATGAGAAGACGGTTCCACGAACTCCGCAACACAATGGTGTAGCCGAAAGAATGAATCGGACCATTATGGAGAAAGTTCGTTGCATGCTGAGTATGGCTAAACTACCTAAGCCATTATGGGGTGAAGCTGTGCTGACAGCTTGTTATCTTATAAACAGGTCACCTTCTGTTCCTTTAAACTTTGAAGTGCGAGAGAAGAAATGGTCAAGAAGAGATGTTTCTTACTCTCACTTGAAAGTGTTCGGGTGCAAGGCATTTGCACATGTGTCCAAGGAGTTGAGACAGAAGCTTGATCTCAAGTCAAACCCATGCATCTTCATCGGCTATGGTGATGAAGAATTCGGATACCGGTTGTGGGATCCCGAAGTGAAGAAAGTTGTACGAAGCAGAGATGTTGTATTTCATGAAAACGAGTTTCATGGGTGTGTTCCAATAATCCGCCAACAACATACTCCATAAGACGAAGTGCCTGTATCATCAAACATTCCTCTCAGTGACGAGGAGATGCATGATACTACTGAACATGAGAGTGATGGTTCAGTAGGTGATGATGATACTCACAGTGATGATATTCCTCAGCAGGGGGAGCCTTCATCTGAAGACGAAGCTGAAGGTACTCATGTTCGACGTTCTATGCGAGGCATAGTTCCACAGAGAAAGTATTCCACATCCGAATGGATACTTATTGCCGGCGAGGGGGAGCCAACGAGCATCGCAGGAACGAGAGAAATAAAGAAAAAGGTGGAGGGGGAGATTTGTAGGTATCTTCCACCTTCTTTCTTGGAAGTTGCCAAGAGACACCTTAACATGGAGGCACCTTCTTGGAAAGAGCTCTCCAACAAATAAAGATGGGAGAAGATATGGAGATACCTTGGAAGCTTGGATGCAACTTCCTCTTGTCTCCAAACTAGTCCTATAAATAGAGTGCTCCATTGTTGTTCATAGTATCAGTTTAGAAAGTGAGAAAAGTGTGTGAAGAGTGAAAATACACTTAGAGTAGAAGTGTATTGGTGAGGATTGGTTTTTTGTAATAGTTGAGTGTGAGAGTTTGCTCCTCCTATTGTAATTCTGTTCTTGATATTGAATAGAAGAATTTTCCAATCCCAACACCACCATCCATCCATAACAATAGAAAACAAAACGCTAGTTCCATATAATCAATTATTACGTATTACTCCGTTGAATACTCCACCATCCATCCATAAGTCCATAACAATTGCATCCATAACAATTGATCAAAATCTACGATCATAAGCAGAAGGGTAGACCCGGGAGAAGCTTGTCTGCTGCCATCGTCCAGTCGTGCCGCCGCCGTCCAGCCGCCATCGTCCAGTCATGCCACCTCCGTCCAGCCTCATGATTGCCCGCCCCATCGTCCTGCCGTGCACTTGCTCACTGTCACCGCCCGATCGCACGCGTGTCCCGCTACCGTCCCTAGACATGTGCGCCACCGTACCACTGTCCCAATCTATGGGTGCCGCCGCCATCCCTAGACATGGGAGCCACCGTCCCAATCCATCCGTGCCGCCTAACCATCTCCTCAATTCTCATTCGTCATCTTCTTCTTCTTTTCTATTTTTGAAATTATGTTTTGTTGAAATTAGGTTTGTGGGCATTAAACATGGGCAATAAATATAGGCAGTGAGGATAGATCTAGTTGAATATGAGAAGTGAATATGACAATATGTAATTTTGTACATGGCAATGAAGGAATGCATTGATAGTGTGTTGTGCACTGAATTGGATGCAATAGATGGTGTCATAACATTGGCGGAAAGTGCATTGATTAATTATGACAAGTAATGCAGTAATGTAGAGCAGTATCACCCGCATGAAATGCAATAGAATTAATTAGACGTAAAATACTTAAATTATTAAATCTAAAAAAATTTTAAAAAATAACTATAAATAAATTCCTAAAGTGAATGAGAAGAGAACTAATGTTGGTGGAAGTGCAGTGATATGTTATCGAAAGTGTAGTAATGTCATGCAGTAACGGCAGTATAAAGTATTTTTAATTGTATAAAAATAATTTAAATAAAAGTATTTTAGTCATAACTAGTCATGTTTTAGTGTTTGCATTAGAAATATGCATTTTATAATTTTACTTCTGCCGTTAAGTAACTCCTCTGTCAAATTCCTTCATTTAATGTAGCCATTCAACTCTGCTTGTAAGGGAATAACATGCAGCCAATTCATTACGTATGGTACATGGGTTGACATTAAAAAAAATCATAAATCATATCACATTAATAAAACTCATTATACTAAATGCATAATAGGTCACACCCTACACTTCCGCGTTGCTAATTACGGAGTACTAGAACTACTTTCCCTCCTGCAGCAATGATCGGCCTTGCCTTTTTTGCTGCTGGCTTTCACCAATACCGCAAGGAAGCACATTTATTTAGGAGGGTATTTTTGTCCATCAATGCAATCATATTCAACCGGTTAATAATTCTTAATTTCTTTTTAGTCATACGCCTGACCAAAAACAACTTTGGTCATATTCTGAGAAACGTGTTTACTTTTGGTCATATCACGGTATTTATCCCAATCCTGAATTTGACAAAGCATGAAATAAAATAGTACTCCATCAAAAATACGGCAGGGAGTATCTAACCGTTCGGACAACACTTTTCCTATATTTGATGAAATTTTGCGAAAGTATTCTTATGAACAGTAGATTATATTCATAAAATTTCAGGTTAAGTTCAAGTATGTAGTTAGCTAAATAAATTATTGAAAAATAATGTGTTTTATATTCATATTTTTGCTAAAATTTCAACTTGAATTTTAGGAACATCCATTTTTATGAAGAACGTCCTCACAAAATTTTACTAAAACTTTCCCCAAAAGTCACCACAAATGGTATCGGCCAGCCAGAGGTTCGTGTCAGCACGGCTGCACTAGATCATTCGTTCATCCTCACCTCTATTAATTCATCTTCTATATATATATATATTATGGAGTAATTCATCCGTCTTCTAAAATTCTATACAGAGTATTTTTAATTTCCTTTGACTATTTAATGGTAAAACTCACACATATATGTTTCATAAATGCGTGCATTTCGAAAAGAAACATTTTAATATTTTATGGAGTACATGGTTTTGTGCACAAATCACGAATGGAGGCAGAATATCTGGCTTTGGGGCAAGGAAGAGGCCTCAATCCAAGAGTAATACTTGTTCTCCTATCCAAGAGTAGATTCTATGATACTCATTATAGCTATTCATATACTCCGTATATTGAATAAATTAAAATAAAAAATAACAAACTCACTTCAAATTAAAGAGTCGTCGATAATATATATGAGAAGTTTCAATCAAACATACGATAGTAAGACATAGAAGTACAAGAAATTGTTTTGTTACAATGCTCTTACAAGGGATACGAGCTAAGAACTAGCGAGCCGCATTCTGCACATACAAATAAATGTCACTCCCTATAAAGATCAAAGCGTGCACATAAAATTTTGATTGATCAAACGGCCGACTTTATGCTTGCGCTGTAGCCGTTGTCGGTGAATTTAGACCAGAGCATCACGCCTCCGTATTTGGCAGAACCTTTGATGGCCGGAAGAATCTGAGAAGTAACCACATTACCCGGGATGAAACCGGCAGCCGCCTGGGCGGCCGGCAAACCAAGAAACACTTTTCCGGCGGGAATGTTTGACCAGCTGTTGTTCCAAGAGTTGAGGAGCTTGGAGGCGTCCCCTGAAGAATACTGACAGGGAGGGTTGTTGTAGAACTGAACCCAAACGGAGTCGAAAACTCCGGCGGTTATGGCCGGTTGCAGCATTGCATCGGGGAATGGACATTGCGGCGCCGCCGATAAGTACACGTTCTGTCCGAATGCCTTTAAGGCCTTCGCCAGTTCGCCGTAGAACTGACTCCCGCCTGATTCTATATCAAAGTCAACTCCGTCAAGGGTTTCGTTTCCTAGCGGCCTTGACCCTGATTGTCCGCCAAGGTAGTTGTCCCACAGATACTGAGCCACATTCCTGGGCATAAATGGATGGGCAAAAACTTTAGGCCAATGAAGAATGTATCCCAAATCCGGGGGTTTTGTGCATTGCAAAAGAATTGTTAAATCTTGTTATTTTGAAAATCCAGTCAATAAATAAATATAAATGTGATACATTTTGGATAGAGCCATAGAGGGCTGAATTGGGGTGAAGTCAGAAAACATAACTTATTCGAAAGTCGAAACGTTAACAATTGAAACGTTTGTGGTCAATGGTCAGCCGATAAATTCCTCCCCGTTCCATACCCAAATTATCCCCATAGCCGACCAAACGCTTCTTTTTCGCCGGACGAATTTTAATAGAGTGGGGTGCTCTTCTTTCTTTAACAACTCTGACTATAAATTAAAATTGCCAAAGTAATTAACAATTATGAATCAAAGTCAGGATATGAGAAACCATCTCAAATTGTCGTCCTCTGGTCCATCCTTAGTGCTTCAAAATTTTCTCTATATTGATTATAATTGTTCCTTTCCTATCTTTCCCAATCAGAAAGTGTCAAGTTCATCGCTGATTGCCCTGCTTTTCATCTTATATTCATTTGTCAGCTTTGTTTTGCATTGCCTTTCATCTCAAACAATAAGAAATTGGAAGCTCTCGTACTTAATTCGTTGTAAAAATTATAAGCATTATAAATATCAATACTAAAATCGTAATAATTGTTAAAATATATCATTATTATAATTAATTTGTTGCATTGATAATTATATGCCCTTTCTGGTAATTTCATATTATCCGGACACTTTTCAGCTCTTTTTGCCGAACGGGCCTAATTCATTCATCTACTACTTCAGATCCTGCCAACATGTCAAAGTTAGCTCCAGACATGCAATAGTCTATGATTCAGACAATAGCTCTTAATCCAGACATTAGTCTTCAGTTCCAGCTCATTGTGTCAAACATAGTCCAAATCATCAAACTTTCGTTATTTTTAGGTAGTGTTTAATGCACTAAACCCTTAGCTTGTGATATACGTAGTATACATTTGGTACGTTAGCTCCTATGATTTTAAATATATATCAGATCTGCCTGTTTTATAGATATTCATGTGTGAGACCCCTCTCTCCTAACAAATTAAATTTAATTGCCAAAATGGAGTATAAGACATGGGGGTCTGACACAGTTTATCAATCACCGAAGGCTAGTGCACATCATTTATACGAGTATATCACAATGACGTTTCGTGAACTCTTTTTATACGTAGTATAATATAGGACTCATTTCCTTGTAAAAGAGGAAATTTTAAGTGTATTTGTTATTTTTTTTTTGGACAAAAGTGTACTAGGGTTGTTTATCAATGGGTCAAAGATCCCTTTTTATTACGGAACATTTGGTAAACTTTTACGTATTTTATTTGGGACATGTGTGGTGATATTGAAATTAGTTCATCAATTGAATTTGAAATTTAGAAAGTTTTAGTTAAAGTGACTGAATTTAATTATGTGATCATCTACTAAATGTAAAACGTAAAACCCATCAAACAATGTCTTAAACAATGTCTTAACATGTTGCGATGAGCTTGATTAAATCATTGTAGTCATGTTGTTATAAATAATGTTAAATAATGGGACACCAACCGATGACCAACTTATTATTACGTAGTACATAAATCGAAATTGACACATGTCATAAAAATCCAAACTTGTAAAAACAAATACGTGGATGACTTGGAACCATATATATCATCCCAATCTGAAATTGCACGACCCAAAAGGCCAATGCAAAATAGCAAAACACACCATTTTATTCATAGTAACTTTGTTTTAAAATAAATTTTATTCTTTTTTTCATTCACTCAATATAAACTTTTCTTTCTTCTTTGATAAAGAATTTATCCTTTATAACATTTGTCTCTCATTCTTTCTCTTCTACATAATTTTATGTTGCACAATTTTCATTTTTTCAATCTCTTTGCAAAGTTTATTGGAGGGAATATAGTACTTCATTGGTCATTTATAATCTTTAATCTCCTTTTTCTATTTAATGATAGTGAGATTCACAATATAGTTTTTATTAATACATTTTATGAAATTTATAAATTTTATATGAATGTATTTTGAAAAAGAACATTGTCATTAATACGGATTATAGAGTACATAATACATTCAAAAGAATTGTTAAATCTTGTTATTTAGCTTCCTTTGTATTTAAAAGTTTGCTACACTTTCATATTTAGGATATATTTCAAAATTTCATACATTTTTCTTTTTAATAAGTTTTTCCTTAAAAATACTCAATTAGTTCTTATTTTTTCTATCGTTTATCTTCTATTTCCCACATTTTCATCTTCCCTCCTACCTTTTCTACCCTTTTCATTACTTCTATATTTCTTTCTTAAATATTGTGTCAAGACCTAATGTAATGACATTTTAAATACTGTGGGAGTATTAATTATTTTTTTATTTTCCATTTAAATTTTATCATCCAATTATTACTTTATTACTACGTCTCTTAAAACTTTTATCACTTATCTTTTGGGGATGTCCCAAAAAAATACTTATTTCTTTTTTGAAAGTTTTGTATTGCTACTGGCTGGTATCTATATAATTTTTTCTTACTGAACTACAATCATATCTTTTCATTTCATTCTCATTTACGTGCACTTTAATCAATTTTAAATCGGGAAGAATTTTACGATGACAGAGCACCATAAGTCAAACTTCATCCCGGTGGAAGGAGTAAAACTTACTTGGCATCTTCAGCGGAAGAAAGGGAATAGTTGCCAATCCCACCTCCCAGGGAGAGCAGTACTTTGATGCCCTGGCTCTTGCAGGCTTTGATGTCGGCGCTCAGGCCGGTGCACGTATTGCTGCTAGGATTACAATGGCCGGCGAGGTTCAGGACCGGTTTCCGACCACTCCCAAACACAGTCAGGAAAGCAACGTTGACGATGTTGTAGTTACCGGAGGCGCAGGTATCTCGCAGGCTGCCCTCGTTCCCATTTTGTCCCCAGTATATCGCTATTTCTCCCCCCAAACAGACTTTCATCACTGAAAGGATCAAAAGGATTGAGAAGGGGACTGTTTTCTTATTATGCTTCATCTTATTTAGTAATTAAGTATATGGATTCAGATAATCAGATCTCTATCTTCTGCGGGCTGTT